ATGGATTTAGGCCAATCACCAAATCCAAATTCAATACACCAGCAGCATGAAGAACTTTTGTCCATAGCCCCTTTACTCCTAAGGCAAACCTTTCAAGCAAGCTTTGCTCTAAGTTAGACAAATTTGATTGTAAAATATGAGTGTCTTTTGATTTCAGTCCTAGAATGTCTAGTAGGTGCTCTTCACAACTAAAAACATGAACTTTTCTATCGATCAAGGGGCACTTAGTTCAACTAGTTAATAAAGTTGAACCAACTTATCTTGGGAACTCGAGTTCAAGTCCTTGGATATGCAATCATGTTAAATATATATATATATATATATATGCTAAATTAAATGCATATATATATATATATATATGCTAAATTAAATGCATCCTCGAGGTACCCGTCAGACCGTTATTAGTAATAACAGTCCCATATAGCGAGGTTCAGATTAGTCTGAGTGGGTAATACCTCTATGTTTCCTAGGACACCGAGCACTGGAATAAAAAAAAGGAGCTTTTCTTGTCTTTTCTTTTTCTTGTCAATAAACAGGGAAAATGCTTAAACAACACAAGCTTTTCTTTATCTTCAAACAGTTATGTTTGGGAGATTTTTTTAGGAGGGAGTGGAATGGAGAAGAATGGCTAAAGGCCTAAACCATTATTTATGAGTTTTTCTTAAAGAAGGATGGAATGGTAAGGAAGGGCTTCTAAAGCCTTCTTTTGATATCCATAGCTCAATATTTTTCTGTCCCCACAAATTTGGGGCTCAAGGATAGAGTGACACAATATAATTATTTCATTTACAAAATTACCTCCAACCTTCTATCCTAATAAAAAAAAAATTATCTATTATTTTCATTCTCCAACTATCTTTCTCTCCTCCTACTAGGATTGTACATGGGCAAGGTCGATCTAAGTATCTCCCCTGCCTAATACCTAGCCTAATGTGCAGTTGGGCACCAAACTAGCCTAATTGATTAGAAAATATTTTTACATATGTTTTTTTGAAAAATATATAAAAAAGTTTTCCTTGACAAAAAATATTATTATTTAAAATATATTCCTCATAAAATTAATATTAGAATCAAAAGTAATTTTTTAAAAGTTCAAATAAACAACAAATGCCAATTATTTTTTACATAATAACAAGTTAAATATAAATTTTGAAATTTGAAAGAGATTAAAAAATTTTAATGATGAAAAATGTCTAAAATATCATAAAAATAATATAATTTATGATGAATTTCAAAAAAAATAATGCCATAAGATAAATGTTATTCACAAAAAATTAAAAAAATTAAAAAAACTTGCATATGTTCAGAAAGGGTAAGGTTTGACCCTCTAATAATGCCTGGCCCCATGTGCCTGAATGCTTTGAGCAAGGCCGGGCTAACCAGCTATTCATGCATAGTATATAGCCTACCTCCCGTCATATCTCTCATGCTCTCGCCATCTCTCTCTCTCTCTCTCTCTCTCTCATCTTTCAACACTATGTTTACTTAAATAATTCTGTTATTTTTTATCTTTTTATTCTTAATTATTGAGCATCTTGTTTGATCGTTAATTTTAATTATTATTATTTTTTTGTTGCATAAATATTATAATTATTTAATAGGCATTATTATTTTTTTAAAATTTAGTTATATGGGTAATATCAGAAGAAAAGAGTTTTAAACTATTCCGTTACATTCATTTTGTAATAACTCCCAAATAATAATCATGTTAAACCATCCATTCCCATCATAAAACTCTCAATCAATAAAAATTTTGATTTATTCCACTTCACTTCGCTCTATTCTGTTCCATTCCATTAATAACTATTCCTTTCTATTCAATCTTAAACTCCCAAATGCACTATGGTAAGGTCTCACCTGCAATGATATCGATATGTCTTTTCATATTAAAATTTGACAGTGAGTGATGCACATTAACTTGCAAGTTCGTTGGTTACTATTTATGAAAATCTCCAAAATTAGGGGTTACTCTGGGTTTATGTGATTTACCATAATCTGAATGATGCAAGTACCTTTTTATTTATTCAGCGCCCATACTTGACAAAATGGAGTGACAAGATCACTTCAACTTCTAGTTGGTTATAAAATTATTTTAAAAAAAAAATTCAAGTTGGGGAGCTTTCATGTATAATTCTTTTTGTGTATGATTAATTTAATGTACATATTACATTAAAAGAGATGCAGCATGTATTCAGGCACAAATGCATATTATGAAAATCATTTGTCGTTGTTATCATCTTATTATAGCATCATTAATTGTCATTTCATTTAAAAGGGGTGAAATTTAATATTCCATATGATAACATATTTGTGTTGATCAAGGGAAGTCAAACTAAATTTCCAAGTAACATGAATTTTTTTTTTCCTTTACCAGCATTTGAAAACTGTGCTCAAATGTTTCACCAACAAGTAATGAACCGCATTGACAAAAGCCAGCTGGAAATTAACTTGATTTGAACTCCGGAACGTAAGTTATGACAAAAGAAGACAAAAAAAAAAAATCTGTGGAACTTGTAAGAAGGATGTCTATGAATCGGTCCAATATTCCTTTGATCCGGTCCAATATATCTGGCCCAATTACATCATCACAGCTCAGTCATGAATAAAGAAGATACTAGGGTCATTTTGGTTACAGGAATTTTAACCTATAAGATGGTAATCATATCTCCATTCCAACCTTACCTATATTTGGTTGCTTATAAAAGACATGGAATGATCTTTTCCAAAAATACGGATTACCATATTTTTAAAAATGGACAAGCCTTTGAAAAATGGAAGGAATCATATCACCCACATTGAATTTAATATGTTTTTACCAAAATGTTCTTGTTAACCTTTCATATCTAGCCTATTTCCCTCTATTATTTTTTTTCAATTTTGCCAATAGTCAATTTTCTAATTTTTTTAAGTTGATTTTTCTTAAAAAAATTAAATTTATTAATATTTTTAGTTTTAATTGTATTTATTATTTTCTCTTTAGAATATTTCTAATCTCATAAAAAATATTTTTCAAAAGAAGTTTTTGAATTTAGTGAAATTTTAAATTTGATACCCTGTGTATGGCATTTTATATATCTTTCTTAATATTTTTCTCTGATAAATTAAAATTAAAATTTAAATAATTTAATTTTTTTAAGAGCATTGTGCGTGTGAGTGTGAATTTAAGCTAAAGGCCTCTGAAAAACTCTTGAACAAAAAGAAAATAAGGCAAATGCATTAATGTAGGAAATAATATAGCTGTGATCTTTTTATTTTAATTTATATTTAAACAATAATATAAATAAAGTCCATTCCTACCTACTTAAGTACTCTAGCAAATAAATTTATAGTTATGATCATTTCATTCTTTTCTATTCTGTTTGATTTTATTCGCTTTTATTATCTTCTTTTTTATTAACCAAACGTGACCTAAAATATGGATATTATGAGATATTTATTTTGTGTATTTATGTATTTCTTTGACAGGTGCACCGTGCCATTCTTTTCTGTTGCCTTTCCCACCAAGCACTATCGGGATGTAGTGCTGTGTGTGTGTGTGTGTGTGTGTGTACGTCTAGCACAGTGTAATACGAGCTGATTTACTCATCATTACAACTTTCATATTTTCTCTATTCTACTAACTGGAACGTATAGGGATTAAACATTTGATTTTCTTTAAGCTTCTATTGACAGCTTTATAAAATATTTTTGATGGAGGACAATTTTCTTTCCCTTATAAAAGCTTATAAATATAAAGCAAATGAAACATGTATTACGTTGGCTGCATGTGGTGTAAATTGGCTTTTAGTGTATGTTTGATTTTTAATTTATAAAAAATTTAATTGTTAAAAGTTAGCACAAATTAATTTAGTAAAAATTAATTGTTGTAATGAAACTTGTGTTTAAATAATTTTTTTAAAAGTTAGTTTGATAAACTAAAAATTATTTGAATTATATATAATGAAATATACTTTTAAATATATAATTACTAAAAAAGGTATTGATTTATGATAATTTTAATTTTTTGTTATACAAATATGATATATTAAAAATGTTTAAAAATGTCATAAAAATTTTAAATAATATAAAATTTGATATATAATAATAAAAAATATAAAGTTTGATATCTTGAAGAAAATTATATAATAAATAATTCAATATATATTAATATTGAAAATTACCAATGTATTTTTTTACCTATAAAAAAGATCAAAATATCATCTTAAACACTTTGATTTACCAGTCTACCAAGTACCAAGTAAGTATTATTTTGTAATCAATTTTGACTTTAATTTTAATTTTTTTTTTCAAAACTGAAGCATTTGAATGTAAAGATCATAAAATATAAGTGAAAAAGTTGAATGCCCTTTTCAAAACCTTCAATCCACCACGTTTTGAAAATTCACTTTCATGATCGTTTGAATGCGCTCTTCCAAAAGTTAACGTGGGTGAAATTTATTAACCAAACAATATTTTTAAAAGTGTAAATTCACTTTTCAAATGTATAACGTAAAGTAATCGAATCCAACAACTCCACGTCATATGTCCCTCTTGTTCAATGCTCGGCAAATTACAAGAATTGCAACAAATTTTAAAATTTAAATATAAAAAGTAGCCCAAGGTCATTAATCGTAATAATGTCCTACTTACAAACAAAAATCCACTTGTTCTCCTTTTCCAACTATTATCCAAATTACAAAAATAACAAAATATTAAAATATAAACTACAGTACACATTATATAATTGGTTTTACAAAAACGAAGTTGAGCTGATAGCTCTTATAATAATCCAAAAACTTCAGTAAGAATTAAAATTTGTAACAAAATATTTTAAAAATTTATTTGCATTTTTATTAATTCTGGAATAGATTTATCAAAAAGAAATACGCACATCAAAAAGAAATTTGAGCTAGTGTCTCATCAGCTTAAAGAAGGATTTTATTTTTATCTTATTCTTGTGAAATTACCATATTCCCCTTATACCATCATTCGATACTTTTCTTCTTCCCCGATCTTTTTTCTTTGATCCGCCTAAGTTGAGAGAGACAGAGCTTCTAACAGGAACCCTCCGCCAAAACCTTCGACTTCTTCCTTCTTCCTTCACTGTTCTGACGGTCATCGGCGAGAGTTGGCCGAGTTGCAGCTTTGCTATGGTGTCTTCTTCAGCACCGTGATTTCTTGTTCTTCCCCTGCTCCGTGATCATGTGAATATGCCGCTGCAGATTGTGGGTTGCGAGTTCTTGGTTCCCTGTGTTGCCTTCGGTCATTCACTGGTTCTACTTTGCGTCGTCGGAGCTCTTTCTTTCTCCATATCTGTTTTGCAACTTCCTCTTCTTTGTGCTTCTGCCTTCGTGATCTGAGGTGAGGGTTCTCGATTCCCTCCTCCATGTTGGTTCTGTTTGTTGGTGGGTGTGGGTTTTAGATGCTGAAGTTGTAATTCTTCTTCTTTTGTTGTGGCTGTTCGTGTTTGTATAGGGAGGGCTAGTTGAATCAAGCTGACAATTTTCGTATTAAAAGCTAAGTGATGATAGTATGGTTTTGAATATTTTCTTCTTGGGTTTAAATTAATCTTGATGAGGAATTTGATTGGAAAAGCATGATGAGTTCAATTGTGGATGTTTGGGAATTTATTGGGCAAGAGATTAAAGGTTAAAAAACCTTATTGATTAGGCTGGAAAATTACGCACACTATGTGTTTGATACAATGCCTAAGAAGAAGTTATATCCCTATGGAATAGTTAATTATAGTTAAAGTATTACGTAGAAACTTGGCGATATAGACGATAATGTTTGGAAAAATCTTTGGATTATTCAAGTTGAAAATGATTATATAAATGTTGAGAGCAAATTCATTTGATTTGAGTAAAGGCTATTAGAATTTCTTTATATTATTAGGATATTTGGAGGAAGTGGAATTGGAAACAAGTTGTAAGGAGTAAGTTTTGATCTTGGATGTACTTCACGTAAATGAATAGTATTCCAATTAAATACAAGAGCAAGTTTTTATTTTATCAAAATTACTATTGAATATGTGCTTTACTTGGCACCTTGTCATCTTTTTCAGCCACGGAGTTTGGTTCTATTGCTATTAAGTCTAAAATTTTAGCACTTTACTCTGTTTGTAACACATCAACATCATTTAAGTAAAGAGTATATTTCAGTAAATATTAACAGGAAAATCAAACCAAACCAACTTCTTGATAAAAGTGTTGAAAAACCAACAAATAACTTAATTGTTTCTGTTTTTTTTTTTTTCAAGTCATCCTATGGGAAGCTATTGAAACGTAGTTCTAAAAATGTATGGCTGCTTTGTCCCAAAGGGGGAAAAAAAATTCTGCAACCAAGACAAAATATAGAACAAAATAGGTATGTATGGAGGTTATATAAGTTCCATAAATTCTCATAAAAAGATGAAGATGATGGAAGAAGCACATATGGTTTCAGGGTCTGAGTTTGTTCACTGGTCATTATTAAAGAGTATATTTCATTGGAAGGAAACAAATTGCTTTCAGTGCTTTTTAGATGCGTAGTTGTCTTTCAACTCACATGCATATTTATTAGTTATTACAAGTTAAAATAATAGCGTGGTTTCAGTTTTAGATAAGCAGCACCAACTTACTTTATTTCTTTTGGTATGTTTTTTCTTCTCTCTCTTCTTCACAAGGAGGAAAGAATGTTTTGTATAAGAGTTGATGTGATTCGAATACAGTGGCTTTTCAAGTCCACAAACCAATTCAAATCCTCTTGGCATAATTGTTTATCGTATTCCTTGTAATTTGTTTATTGTATTGCAGAAGGTCCATAAGCCGATTCAAGTCCTTGCAATTTGTTTAATGTATATGATCAGACCACTTGTTTAAATAAAAACTTTATTTTGCCTCTGTTTGAGGAAGGCCTAGTGTGATGTGGCATTGAAATTATAATAATTGGCAGAACTGTAATTTGCTCTTATGAGGTTGATGAGTGGCCAGATTGTGTCTTTGGTCATTGAGATTGTAATTAGGAAATTTCAAGAGATCATACTTTGGATTAGGTTGAAGTCCTGTCTAGTGTATATGTCTGTTTTGCAGTGTTATTAATATGACTAAATATTCTTGTTTACTTACTATAATGGCAATGATTGATTTTAAAATGGCTTAATGAATGATTAGATATTATGATTTTATGGCCGTTTAGACATGACATTACCATCCCCATCAAAAGTGACCATATCTGCGAGTCAAAAAGTGGGATCAAATGATTCTTTTATCAAAAAAGAAAGAAGAAAGAAAAAAGAAAGAAAAATGATTACCAAGTGAGGTCGTAACGTTCATCCCAACAAACAAGTAGCTAGGTGACTCAAGTATCCTGGACCTTTACAAGTTGAACAAAATTACTTGATTGATTATATAATGTCTCTGATAAGTTATTTTGCAACTCAAAAAGCAAGAAAAATAGTATAAATATTAATGAGCAATATCAATCTAATAGTATAAAGAAGAAAACTTGAGTGAATCCAAAAGTGAGATTTTGCCAAGGCAGAAAAATAACCAAAATTTTTTAAAATAATTCAATTAAATAAGTCACCTTATTAAGAAGTCATGCATAATGAGAACAATAAATATTCTACAAAATTACACGAGAAATTGTATCTAAATATTTAAAAATGAAAAATAAAAAAATGTCCTAAATATTTTAATGATTCTCAAGTCATAGCACTAATGTGTAACATTTTATCTTTAAGTGCCTCATCTTCAAAGTTGGATGAAATTGTAGGCACAACATGCACCCATGTTGTATCATCTTCTGCAATTTACAATAATAAAATAAGTAGTAGTCTATCTATTATAACATATATAAACTCAAATAAAAATAAATATACTATCATACGATTCTTGTTAACTTCAACTGTTAAAAAAAAGAAAATTTGCCATCGTTCACAATAGTTGGACTAGATATTTGATTGTGAGCTCAACTCTCTTCCACTTACTTGCTGATGTTCTGAACGAAGAGCATTATTTTTAATATTGGGGAATGTATCCAAAATAAAATAAACTGAAGAGTTGAACAAAACATTAATTACATAACTACTGAGAAAGTTTTCAACTGGGTTCTACAATACCAGGGTGATCATCGGCACAAGGACACTAGGTGACACGGTTCTTCTCTTGCGTGGCGTTGTCATCGTCTTGTGGGATTTCACCAAAATAAAATACACCATCCTTACTCCCATAAAATAAAATAATGCCAAACCAAAGAAGAAGAAGTCCAACTTGTCGGAAAACTGGAAGGCTAATTGATCTCGTAGGAAAATATCCTAGAAGGCCAAGTAGTAGTATAACGAAAACGAAGATGAATGCAATGATACTTGTAAGATATGCAAGAAAGCTATCATTTCTGACAACCAAAAGTATGGCAGCCACAAATGCCACTGGCATGGTTCCAAGAGCCAATTGGACAAAAATTTTGGAGTTATGATATGCTTGTGTTGAAACACGTCGATCAGGCAAATGCCTCCAAAGAAGAAGAATAGTACCGAAAGTGGAGCAATACATAGCAATGGTGTTGAAAGTCATAAATATTTTGAACAGGGTTTGATCAGTCAACACTGCCATGCCTCTTTTTATAGGGACTGGGTAATCCGAACTGTATACCCCGCCTGGTATTGTGAAACCAGCAGCAAATGTCACTGTGGCTACCAATACGGCCACAATTATGAGTGTGTTGGCCCCATCGTTCTCATTCCATGCTTTATTCACTACACGTTTTCGTCTCAGCTTATTATTATATTTGCGCGAGGCACCAGCAAATCTAACAATCATATATGCTCCTAACTGCAAGGTGATCAAATCAAGCAAGTAGGTGGTTACATGTCGTAATCTTTTATAAAACTGCAATTTTTCTAAAATCAAAACCTGTTAGAAAAAGAAAGAGATTATGAAAAAAAATATTGGGTTTAAAGATTGTCGCACCCGGAAAAATGCGACGCGGACGGCGCGCGAGCGGAGGTCCCGGCCTTCCCGGCGGGAGCCGGATCGAACGAGGAGTCGCCACCAAGATTTTGAGGTAAATCTCGGGAAACCAATTAATGGAAGATAAGGGTGATCTGCAAAATTAGAGAATAGGTTCGGGAGTCGGTTGAGTGTGAGGAAGGTGTTAGGCACCTCACAATACCTGTTCGTGAGAACGGTTACCTGAAGTTTGTTGTCCTCTATTAATATGATTTTAAAATTATTTTAATTATCCCTTTTATATTCATGTGTCTGATATGAAAATGATGATAATTGAGTGAGAAATGTTTATTTATTTACGAGGGAGGACGGACTTGACTCAGAATATGACTCTGAGGCCTACGTACCCTGTGATGGGGATCAAAGTTCACGTAGTTCGGGCTTAAAAGTTTGTTAGCGAAAATATTTTTTTTGAAGAGAAATTAATTAGAAATAATTCACCATTTTGCAAATAAAACAATTTCTGAAATTTTGATATGTATGTTTTAAATTGCAACAGGTAATTTAATTTTAATTATTTTCTCTATTTTTAAATTTTTTGAATAAAGAAAGAAAAGAGTTTAAAATTATTTTTTTTTATTTTTTATGATTGAGAATTTTAATTATAGTACCTGCAGAACCTTATTGGTTCATACGGTAATGCGATTGCTCTAAATATCTGCAGAGATTCTGAAATCTCACACAATAAAAGAGTTTGGCAATTTAATTTGTTTTATATTCTTATGTATATTTCAAGTGTTAAAAATATATTTTAAGTGTGTGTATATATGTTTTAAAGGTTCTTAATCATCATACCTGCAAAGTCTTATTGACTTATACGGTAATATGATTATCCTAAATATCTGCGGAGATTCCAAAATCTCACACGATAAAGGAATTAAATTTATTTAAATATATCTTTAATTAATTTAATATATAAATATATATATATATATATATGTATTTGATTACAATTTAAATGCATTAATTTGGTTACTTAATTTTCTAAATTGTGTATTATATGATTATTTACAAAAATCATTTATTTATTATAAAAATTGAGAATCACTATATCTGGAGGACTTATTATCCCACACGATGATGTGACTAATTTAAGTCTCTACGAAGATTCTTGAAATCTCACATGAGACTTGAATAAATTATTAATTTGGATTATATAAAAGAGATTTAATTTTAATGATGAGCCTATATTAACATATAAGTTTTGCTCTCGTATCTGTGAAACCTTATTGATTTACACGATACGAGATTATCCTGAATATCTACAAAGATTCAAAGTCTCACACGATAAAAGGATTAAATAATATTTACTTTAAATGTATTTTAATGCGTAATTATACATCACATATTTTTAAATATAAAAATCTTAATCGTTATATCTGCGAAGCCTTATTAACTCACACGGTAGTACAATTATCCTAAAAGACTACGGAGTTTCAAAAATCTCATATGACCAAAAGATCCAATTAGAAAATGTGATTATAATTCAAATTTATTAATTTAATTAATTAAAACCATAAAAACATTTATTATTTTATTTGCAAAATTTGTTTATTTATTTACCATATAAATTGTGAATCACGATATCTGTGAGGATTTATTATCCTACACGATAAGGTAATTAATTTAATTCTCTACGAAGATTCTTGAAATCTCACGTGAGACTTAAATATTTATTATAAGATTGATTCTCATACCTGTGAAACCTTATTGATTTGTACGGTATGAAATCATTCTAAGTTCCTACGAAGATTCTAAAAATCTCACATGACAAATAGATAGCCAAAATATTTGTATTTACAGTCAGTGTATAATATTGTGGGTAGCTAAACAATTCATGCAATAAAGGCCATGGAAAGAACAGAGAAATAAAACATTTTGACAATTCACTATTTTTTTGACTTGAGGATATATTCTAAAAAATTAGATTTGGCATAAACTTTTAGCAAGATCATAACCACGATAGATACGACTCCAGACCCAATCAACCTCACAAATTATCAATATTTTCACTAGCTCTCCTTTTTTATTTTTTTGTCAAACACCTCTTATGTATGTTCTAAATTCTACATAAAAAAATATTTAATTCTCAAATTTTTAAATGCCTAAACATACATTTAGAGTAGTGCCTAAACATATCTGGATCAGTCCACGCCCTTAACATCTATCAATAAATATATGTTCATCAATGAATCCGAATTAAGGGAGATGATATATTTTAAATATTACCTGAGCAGCTTGTGATTCCAGGCTTACATTCTTCTTCCTCTCAAGACGACGCTTTCATCACCTCAACCTCAAGTTTTGAACGTGTTTCGGGTTCTCTATTGCTTGTAAAACATCGAGAACTCGTGTGACTGAGGGAAGAAGAACATGGTGATCTCGTTCAGTCCACAAACTAACGTGTGCATGCATGCTACTGTTTATGCATGTTCTTCTTCTTGCTCTCTCAGTTCCAGTCCCTATTCAGTCATCCTCCAACTTCTGCTCTGTCTCTACTTCGGTCTCCGTTCTTATGCTCTATTTTTCTTCCTCTCTCCCTTTCCAGTTTCGGTCTCTTTGTTTTTTTCTTTGTTGTACTCTGTTTTTGCTTCAGTTTCCTCCTCTCTTGGTCTCTTTCTCGTCCGTCTCTCTCTCGCATTTCTGGCTCTCTTTTTTTCAGTCTCTCCTCTCTCGATCTCTCTCTTCTCTTCCTCGGTCTTCTTCTTCCCTCCTTCCTCCAGTTTTCCTCGCTGTCTTTTCCTTGCTTAAACCTGTCGTTCTCCATCTTCGATTCTCTGTCTCCGTTCGTTCCTTGTTCCAGCTGCTGTGCTCTCTCACTCTCCTTCTCTGTCTCTCTCTCCTCTAGAAATCCCTCTCTCTCATTCTTCTTTTCTGCTCTGTTTCTCGTTCAGCTGTGTTCTCTTCTTTCCGTCTCTGTTTTCTTCCTTTTGTTTCTCTCTTCTCTTCGTCTCTGTTTTTTTCAGTTTCTCTTCTCTCTCGGTCCTTTCTCGCTCTCTGTCTCTCGCTCAAACGCTCTCAGCTCTCTCTCTCTTTCCATTTTTCTCTCCTCCCCAAATTTTTCTCGTCCCCCCTCTGTTTTTTTTTCTTTTTTCTAGTTTCTGTGTATGCTCTTTTTTTTATCCTTCCACTTGCGTGCGTCCTGTATTTTCTCGTTCTGTTTCTTTTTTCTGCTGGCCGAAAGTGTATGTACGTATGCTGGTTGCTTGCTGCTCCTTCTGCTCTGTTTTACTGTGCATGCATGCGTCTAATCTCTTTCTGCATTTTTCTCTGTGTGGCTGTATGTTTACGTGCTTCCTTTTGCTTTCTTTCTCTGCTGCGTCTGGGCTTTGCTTCTTTTCTTCTTGTTCTGTCGCGTCTGCGTGTGCGCGCGCTCTATGCATGCTTGGTTCTTCTTGCTTTTCCTTCTTCTGTCTACATCTGACCGAGTGGAGAGATTTTGGAACCAATGGGTTGAGATTCAACCCCTCTTTTTTTTTTTTGTTAAATAATTATATTTTTAAAATATAATCCTAAAAAAATATTAAATTTTATTATTTTTTTATATTTTTTGTTTATTTATTAAATTTAAAAAAATGCTCGGACAAAATACAGTGTTCACAAAGATACTTCAAAATACCTCTATACGAGTCATTGGAAATTTACTTTGGCTTCGGATAATATCAATAGCTGTTAAACCTTGGTCATTTACAAGGTTCACGATTATTCTTTTGTCTCGTGATAGATGGTCTAAAGTCCAAAGATACAACTTTCTTGAAGCCAGATGCAGTGGAGTGTCTCCATTTAGCAGGTCTTTCTCATTCACAGTTTTGGAATTGATCTTCGGGTGCTTCAATAGGTATTTTACCATCTTGCTTTTTCCTCTCATGGATGCAATGTGAAGAATGTTTCGACCTTCATTATTGAGTGAAAAACTTGTACAAGGCCCTTGCACGCGTAACAATTCTTCAACCACCTGAATATGGCCCTTACCGCAAGCAAAGTGAATCGGAAGATTACTTTTTGAGTTTCGTTGAAAGGCGACAAGGGTGGATTTGTTTAAAAGTTCACGAACACCTTCCACATAACCAGTGAACGCTGCATAATGAAGGGGTGTGTTTCCATCTTCATCTGTGAGGAACATCAACTCTTCTTTTTTGTCTACTATCTCCTTCAAAACAGCTACAGATAAACGAACACATTTCATATATAATTGAAAGTAGGTTATATTAACAAAAAAAGAATTAACACATTTGGTAATTAAAAAGTAGATTAGAAATATATAAAACTTGATATATAGTTAACCAAGTGGTTTAAAAAATTTTGGTGAAGTAATCATCAAACATACTTGATATAAAACATTTGACATGATTCGACCCAGGACACAAAGAAAAAGAAAAAAAATGGACAAAAAACAAAGAGTAAAAGCAAGCAAAAAAGGAAACAAAAGGAACGATGAAAGAAAAGGAAGAGAATAAAGAAGAGAGAAAAATAAAAAATGTGAACATGAGGCTTCCAAAGCTGTAAAAGAAAAGTACAAGCCCATACAAAATAGTTCATGAAGTATTAAAGAAAAAAATATCATGTTTTGTAATTCTAAAATTAATTTTAATTGAATATATAAAATCTGGATTACGTCTAACCAAGGTTTAAGCCATTTAGATGAAGTAAAAAATATTTAAACATATAATATAAAAAAAAATTGACACGACAACCAGAAAAACAGCACATTGATCAATTAATTAATTTGGCATCCCCATATATACACATACCAATATTGCGTTCTGATATGGCGGCAAAAAGTGGAGAGTTTCCCTGACTCTTATAAATGATCCTATCTGAGGGAAAAGGAATCTGCAAGAGACGACGAAGAATTTCAAGATCGCCAGTTTGGACTGCCATGTATATTGGTGAGTCTGCTGGGTGGGTGTCCCAATAGAGTGGCCAAGTACTTTCACTTTGCTCACTTAGCAGGAAATCAAACCCCTCGCGATGTTTGCTCAGAATAGCTTCGTGCAGAGCTCTATTCCCAAACTTGTTGGGCAACATGATAAAGTTATCCTTACTGCTAGCATCATCAAACTTGGACAAGATGACTCTCATCACTCCAATTTTTTTAGCTCTTGCGGCAACATGAAGCGCTGTGTCTTTTTTGATGTTTGTCACAATCAGCAAAAAATTATTATCAACAAGCAGCTCTGCGATCCTTGTTCGCCCATGTTCAGCTGCAACATGCAGCAACGAATCACCCGTGGGAGTGGCTTGATGTAAGATGGTGGAACAATCCAGTTGTTTTTCTGTGCTTACTCTCTCCAAGACGTCTAGAAATTTACTTGCATCTCCATTCTCATCACGAGCAGCATCGTACAGCTCATAACTCATGGTGTCATCAATAAAGCCAACTTGAACATGATTAACTGACGAACTAAACTGCTTCTTCAACAGTTCCTCCAGTCTTTTGTAGGATGGCACCTTCCAGTTTGAGTCATTCGGTCCCATTGGAATTTTGAAATGATACAGATTTCTAATTGCAATTAGCCCCTCAATCAAATTCAAACCGAAATGTCGGAGCTTCTGATTGATACTTCAACTTAATTTTGGCAGAAGGAGAACCTTTTTACATGCATTGACCACTCAAGTAGATGCAACTGCGGACTAGCTGGACGGAGAGATTATTATGTACTCCGTTGTTACTTATTTATTTCTTATAAAAAGATATGGGATTTTACGTGCAATTAAACATGTTTTTACCAAAGATGTTTGTAGAAGTATATTCAAATTACTTATTTAAAAAACAATCATTAGAAACAAACAATTAATTATAGGGTTAAGGCTCATTTTTATCTCTAAACTATATGAAAGGTCACAAATGATCCTAAACTCAACTATGAGCTAGTTATGTCTCTTAGTTTTAAATATTATTTCCATCATCATCTTAACATTAAAAAAACTTAACATTTGTTAGTCATTAGTGGGTCTCACTAATTTATAAATATTTTTTATCTGGTTAAGGATCATTTTTACTCCTCAACTTTTATTTAAAGGGTCAGTAGACACTCTCAACTCAAATATTTTATAATAAAAATATTTAAAAATATTATGTTGAGCCCATTAACAGTGAGAAAATGATAGGTTGATGAGGAATAAAATTTTTTAAGTTGAGGAAAATAATTAATCTATAGTTGAATTTATGATCATTTATAACCTTTCGTTCAAGGATAAAAATGAACCTTAACCCTTAATTATATACACACACTAAAAAGGAGCAAAGTTTGAAAGACTTTTGTAGTTAACTAATCACCCACTTTTCTTTACAGGTGTATGTTGATTAAAATAGTCTTCCTATATAGAAGGGAGAGAGATGAAGCTTTCAGCTATCATATGAAGTCAGCAGTCAACATATAAAATACAAAATATATACAAAGTGATAAGGTTTGGTGAGAAATATATGGAACAGAAGCAACTGCAGCAAAGACATTGACTGGATAAAAGAAAGGACTAAAAAATTTGTGGAATTTTGATATTTGAAAAGGAACAAAGACATCTGCGTGATTGCACTAAATCAAGGGAAGTATGGATGAAACTTGTATCACATTCTATGCTTAATACTTTCTTTTCTCTTTTCTTTCAGGATTAGATTCTCTGGAATGCGAAAAACAATGTTGGAAATGCTAATACCAGAAGAATCCCTTGGAAGAATCTTTTTGCCCATATTTGTTGGAACATTTGGAAAGAGAGTTGCAAATCTATCTATTCGGAGGACCACACTCTTGAGAAAGACATCATTTTCACTTGCACACAGGACATAATCAATGACCTCTACCTTCAATCTCAACTTGGAATTATGCAGATGAATCAAGACAGATTTTTCACTAGATGGATTCCACCAAAACCTGGTTGGATCAAATTGGATACTGATGGTTCTGTTCTCACCAATGGAGACGCTTCTTGTGGTGGCCTCATTCGTGATGATTTAGGGAACTAGATTAAAGGCTTTACTAAAAGTCTAGGCTATCATCCTACTACTGCCGCTGAGCTCTTGGGTATTTTTGAGGGATTAAAGCTTTGTTGGGAAAATAACTTCAAGCAAGTTAATGTATACACTAATTCCTTAGAAGCCCTGACACTTGTTCAGAAGGATCATGATCCGAATCATCCTCTTGGCGATATCATTAAGAAGATTAGATGTCTCATCATGAAGGATTGGGCTGTCACCTTCAATCATATGTTTAGAGAATGTAATAAATGTGCGGATTGGCTTGCTCGACAAGCTACGAGAGAAAATTTAGACACTTTATTTTATGACATTCCACCTCCAGGGTGTTGTCGGCTCATGGGTCTTGATTTGACCTAAGCTATCCCTTGCACGGTTCATCCGTGGCCTTGTATTAAAAAAAAAAAAGGAACAAAGATAAAGTGCATGTCCTATCATTGGGTTTGGATTATGATTAAGTAGATGAGGAAAAACCTTGTCTGGATTTCGTGGGCGTGGAAAAGTCTGAATTTTCATTGAAGAGAATCCAATTTAATATAATATAATTTTATAATTTTTGAATTAAAGCATTCCATTTTTTAAGAAATAAATGAACCTAATTGAGAGCCAAATGAATTGGAAACCAGCACTTGGTGTGGTTTAATTAACTCTCAGAACCAAGATGTTAGAGCTCTTAAATTGTTTGCCCAAATATACAATTTAATTCAGCAAAAGGGATGCAACTCATGTCAATTCAACTACTTACAAATTGGACAATTTTGACGCCGAAGTGACTGGAACATATAGAGTTTTTTAACACCAGGCTAAACAATGTATTTTAAAAATAAAAATATTTTTATTTGTATTTCCCAGTGAATTCTATAGAAGCTATATTAATTAGGTCCAACTAACTCAGCTGGAGTCACTTGGACCTGTCATGGCCTTTGTTTAGAAGAACAGCGTGGAATTAATTACTTGAATCATACTTTGTGGGAGTTGGATGGACAGTGAATCTGGGACATTCAGATTTAATATGCATGGTCCAAATTTTAAATATTTAGTTTTTATATTCGTTAAAAAAGTTATAAAAAATTTTAATAAACATGCTTCATTACTAATTTGGAGAGTCTAAATGTAATATGAGTAGTCCAAATTTAGTATTAAAACTTTAAAAAAATTAATATTAAATCTCAACTGTCCATATTGGTGATGAAATTTAATAAAAAAAATTTTAAATTTTTATGAATTGATCATCCAAATATATTGTAAGTAGTACATATTTAATATTAAATTTATAAAAAATTATAACATTGAATTTGGCCCCTCTATGTTAAATCTGAACTGTCCAGATCACTCATCAAATATAATGAAAATTTTAATAAATCTTTTAGTAGATATGAAATAAAAATTAAAATATTTAGTATGGATTATTCAAATTAAATTTGAACGGTCCAGATTTAATGGTGGTGGGAGAAGGGTGGGAGGAGGGGAAGGGGAGGAGAGAAACCGAGTCCTACTTTTAGTTAGTTGTACTTTGATATCCCCAAGAAATTTAGACTTGGTATGACATAGGTAACTTTCTAAATGGAGATGTTGCTTTTTCAGTACTGAGTTAAGCAAATTTCATGCCTATCTTATATATTTTTAGTTGTGTTATTCTTAATTTCCAACAATTCGTACAACCCCCATTGCAAAGACATAAGTTGTGTGTGAAATTTGTATAACCTTCCCGCAAGCTCACTTTGAAACTCATCTGTTTCATAAACATGTCAAAAGTATAGGGTCCAACAATTATATTTTTTCTTTGTTTTTTATGAACTAAAAGTAAGATGACTGAAGTTGTATAAGAAGGGTATGAAATGTTCAAAACCCCACTAGTAAAATGCCCTAACATCATTTGAAAATTTATTTATTTCAGACTTAGACTAAATTAATTTTTTTATAAGTTAATGACTTTACAAAAAGACTTAGTCACTGGCAGGTTTTCCCATGGCAAACTATAGAGGGATTTTCATTTGATGAGTGGTTTAAGTCCACTCACTCAATGAGTATTTCAATTGCATCTATTGAACTTTATCAATACTTAAAAATTATATCAAGATATATTTCTCTTCAAAAATTCAAAACAATCATTACAATTAGAACACTTACCATATATATATATTGTTCGCTCTAAAAATTAGAGATTTGGTACTTTCTAAATATTATATAACAATTTCTTATAGCCATTTGATTTAATCAAAGTACTGGTTATTGCATCATGTGAGATATTCTTTGAGTTTCACTCACCAAATCCAAATCCATTATGGTGCCAGCAGCGTGTCTTGGGTGACCCATTGGTCTTAGAGGGCTCTTAAATCTAGTAAAAGACGTTAGAGGTTTTCGATTGTCATATCTCCCAATATAATGCTTGCCCACGCATATAAATTAATATAAATCTGTATTTATCAACTACCACGAAAACTTCCAAACTTGAAGTCTTTTTCTCACCTACAACACGTTGGAGTCAAATTATTCCCTCAGTTTCCATGCAAAACATTATCTGTCGACAGGAATGAGTTTTTGCAAAACAACAAATACTGTCACAATATTGCAACCTTGTGCTCGAAAAGCTGCAGTTTTATTTTAATAACAAAAATGGGAGTTTTGTTAATCATGTATGTATATTAATGACCTTATCTCATGTACATGAACCAAATTCTCAGTACATGTACTATCATAAGGTTGGATTTTGGTTAAGTTGACGATAAGTCTCACGTACAATGGATGAATATTCGGGTTTTTTTTTGTTAAAAAAAAATCGACGGTTGAATATTCTTTTCTTTCTCTTTTAGTTGATTTTTCCTTTGATGGGTGATTGATGGAGGGTGTGTAAACAGATGAAGCATATGTATCTGGATATTCCGCATAGGGAAGTCGTAATGCTCATTGATATAAATCCAATTTATTTGTATATTTTTCAAAGGCATTCAATTTTATTTTACAACTTTAATTGATCTAATATCGAATGAAATATCTGCAACTAATTTAAATAAAGAGTTGTTCGTCTTTGAATTTGAGAATCATACATGGAAAGCCGTTGGAGTATTATATTGATTAGTGTTTTCGGTCCTTAATATATAATTATTTTAACATAAACACGTGTATTAATAGGGGAAGTTAAAATTTGTTAGTCACCTAGATTTCTTTTTTAAAAAATAAAAATGGTATTTCCAAAATGTACCATTTGATTTACGAAACAAAAACTTAATTACATAAAAAAGTGCAACACAACTTACTGTTCTCATTTGAAGACTGATCAATGTTGCAATTAAGATAAGATAGTTTTATATATTTAAATATTTTTTAAACATTATATACTTAGTTTTATATACTTAATATTCTTGTTTTGAACCAAATCAAGGCATGAAATTTTTCATATATTATTTATTTATTAATAAACTTATGTTATTACTATTATTAAAACTCTATAATTCCATATATTATGATTTGATTGAATACAATATATTAAATATAAAAGACTAAA